GGAATTGATGGAGTCAGTAATACGACTCCTGGACAGATGCCAACATGCACCTGTTTTTGCTATGGCTAAACTGCCATGGTATTTTTAGGAATGTTTTAATCCCACACAACTAAAAGGCATAGACTGTTCATAATCAAAATGTACATTGGGTCTTGAGGGATAAGATTTACAGAACACCAAAAAGTGAACTGTGAAAGAGCTGTGATTAACTTTTATAAAACTTTGGGCTGAGTTCCTGGTGAGACTTTATCAAAGTAGAATAAAGAGTAAAAAAGATCCACCATCCTTACTCTAAGGAGGTGAATTTCATGAATGTGGAATGTCCACTTTCTGAGGAGCACCAAAGGGTTGGTGTGACATGCTAGTTGAAGGTGTGAGTGCCTGCTCATTAGCCAGGGTTTCCAAGCTTATTCACTATAAAGAACAAAAGAGCTGAAAAGCCTATGAAATGAACAGATAAAGAGCATCTCTCCTGAGGAGACTCTGAAGAGGAACCATCCCAAGGATTATATTTGCATCTGTACTTTCCAGAAGTAGCTCTGGTACTTTGGTACGGCTGTAGTTTTCACAGCAGAAAACTTGCACTCTGGGAGTGTTCGTGTCCTCCTGAATCTTGCAGTGCAATACAAATTTACTAGGAACGTATGCTTGGAGCCAGGCTTCATAGATCTTTCTGGATCAGTTGACAATTGACAGCCATTTGGTGCACTTTGCATAGCAATATTAGAAGAGGAGCAGAGTTTGAGAAGAGCAATAAATACAGGAGAAGAGTGGAGGGAGAATGTTAATGGAGACAGCTGAACAGCTGACATGATCTAGGCTCAAGGATCCCTTAATCTCTGCAGGAAGAGTAAAGGGTGGAAGGGAATATTTGAAAAGGAAAATAATGAAAAATCAGAACAAAAAGAAATAAAGGGAAGAAGAATGAAAGGTCCACAGTGATGTAGTAATTAAGGACCAACACTATCTGGGTGGGTGACACAGATGACATTCAGACACAGCTTCAAGAGACTAGAAGTTTTCCTTACACATCTTCAGAGGCAAGTATTGATAATAAGGTGGTTCACTTTAATCTCTAGTACAAGGGTAGCAATGAGATCTGAAGTCAGAGAATTAGCATCATCATTCAGTACTACTACTCAGCACATGAGAGTCACATTGCTTCAGAGGCAAAACATTTTAAGCCAGGTAGTTCATTTGGGAGCCAGGGTCAGTAAGGGATACTGCTCTGCACCGGGATAGAAGGGACAAGCATATCATTCTTAGATAACTTGGTGATACCAGAGCAGTAACAATCCCATGACATTTCTGGTATCTTTTCATACAGTGAAGCTGTATGTCAAGTTACAGACAAGTGATTCTACAGAGCTCAATCATCTAAAGATAATTGCTTGCTTTCTTGCTTGTGTTTTGAATCAGATATCAGCTATCGGAAGCTTCATTCTAAGCCAAGGGGCCTGTAAAGAGCCAAGGTCTTTATTCCTCTGGTATAAAAAGAAGGTATGCTTACTTAGTCCCTAGAACAAAGATGTTTCTGTACCACACTGCATAGGAAAAGGACTTGAAGGGGAAATACAATTTACAGACTTTGTAGAAGTAGCAGTAATTAATAGAAGGAATATGCCATGCATGTAATACAATACCATCAAATACTTCACAAGGATAATACTATAAATAACATTTATTTAGTGTATTATAGTGACTCTTTAACAAGCATTAGTGGAATATCATGTTTATAAATCATGAGTATTTTTTGTGAGAAAAGTATTTTACGTTTTCCTATTTTACCCACAGTTTAATGTCTTTGTAGTTTCATGTACTTTCATGAAATGTTTATTTTAGTAGCAAGTGCTGTTTATCTGCAAACATCAAGAGAAAGTGTTATATGATTAATCAGACCTAATATTCAATTAGGATCTGTCTATCAGTAACTATCCATATTCTTGCCATGAACAGCTCCTACTTTTCTCAGAGGATTTCAGATCTCTTACACAAGTATTATGATAATAGAGAAGGAATTGGCTTCATGCTACATGAAACATTGTGTGCTCCAATCTCAGATTTTGCATTATTTATGATTCTTTTCCCTAAACCCACTTCCAGGTCTGAAAAATCAAGCCCCTATTAAACAAATATTTGCACTGGAGACACCAAGTTGATACATGTTTATTTTTACCATCTAACTTACAAACTGGTTCCTTAGATGATTATAGACATGAAGAAAAATCCACTCTACCTTGACCAGGCTGTTGACAAAAGAAGAATTATTTCACAGTGCCAAAAGTGCCTAGATTAATGGATTTTGACTGTGAAAGAATGTTGCTGTGGATGTGTAATGATACGTTGGAACAGATTATGTGGGAGGCATTGGCAGTAGTTGCTCACTTCAGACCAGACAGTCAGTTAGGATGTCTGCCCGCTTTTAAGCTGCTGTCTGCCCTACTGTCTCACAAGGTAACTGAGCTCATGAAGGAGGGGAGACCTTTTGAGTAATTGGAGGGACCTCTGAGCCTTGTCCACTGTGGTAAGACTCATGAAATGCATTCCTGGAGTTTGTATAGTGCACCACTAAAAAAATTATTGTACCTTTTTCACTTACTATTTTCACATTATTATCATCATCATGGGACTGTATTCCCCAGCCTTGGAATGGAAAGTTACTCTACTATCATTAATACAAAAATTACAGATGACAATGCTATAGAGTTTTGTAAGCTGTACATCATTGCAATGAAGAAATTATTCCACTGCTTAACAGTCTTAACTTGCCCATTTTTCCTAGACTTCTTTAAAAAGAGCAAAAAGAAAATATATAAATTTACTTACTACTTGAAGCAGAGCAAGATATCCAGCTCCTACATTATCAAAGTTTACTTTCACATTTTTCCATCGGGCACTTTGATTGTTTTTTATGAGTTCCTCACACTGAGTATAATTGTTGACATCACTGACATCAAACATCTCACCAGTTGTAGTGTTGACACAGTGATAGAATTTGCCAGCAAACAGATTTACTCCCATGATGCTGAAGATGAGCCAGAATATAAGACAAACCAGCAATACATTCATGATAGATGGAATTGCTCCTACAAGGGCATTTACAACCACCTAGTGTACAAATTAGACAAAATAGCCACTTAGTTTATGAACAGAAAAATACCTTTAAAAATGTTAAAACAGTATTAGTATGGAATGGACAATTAAAATATTACATTAAATATTTATGGGGGAAATGTTATTTAAGGCTCAATAAAAACACTAGTGAGATTGAAAATAGCAAGAAATAAAATAATATGGAAACAAAGACAATGCAAAAGTCTGAAAAAAACCTCAAAAAGCAAAAGAAAACCTGTTAGTAGCAAGATGGATTCTTAGAATTTGTGTGCTCTAGAGAAAAAGAGAGAAATAAATGTTAAATTCCAACAATACAAATCAAAATATATAAATAGAAAATAAACCAGAAAAAGATCAAAGAATGATGATGTGGAAGACTGAATAAAAATGTTTGCATGTAAAACTATCATGACTAATGATTTTATTCTCAGAAACTTTATGTATATATTGGCACCAGAGTATTTTAGCATCTACATACAACGTAACATAATTAAGCATATCTTATTTAGTTCTCATTAGCAGCATCTGTTATAAGTCTTGTTTTTAAATTGCCTGGCTCACTATAGTTGCTCTTACACTTATCTGTTAGGGTTTTTTTTTTCAATTGGCTGCATTTAATACAGTTGAGCTACTCTATATGGGCAAGTGGCAGTAAAAGATCAGATCAAATCCTGTGACAAAAATTTTCTTTTACTTATTGTGATTGAACTAAAAGAAAGCTGCAGATAGTCAGACAATAATTTTCTACCAAATCAGTAGAGATGGCAGTAGGTTTTTTGTGTATGGTTTTGAAAATAGTAGTATTTTTCAGTTCACTAATTTGACTGAAAGTAGTTTAAGATCAATAGAGGTTTTGCCCATTTATTAGATAAGGACTTAGGAGTTTGCAGTGCAAATCATGTAAAACATGGTGGTGCTGGCAATGTGCCACAGGACACAGTCACCTACGCTGGCTAGTGTGGCCACCACTAGAATATCAACAGCCTCAACCCAGACAGGAACGACACTATATGGAAATTTAAGAGCTATGACCAAACTATAAACTTGTATTGCAGCATCTGGGTATTTTGAAGCGAAAAATTAAAAGGAGATTTCTCAATAACATTACCTTGTTAATTTTTTATGCATCAGTTTTTCCAGGAAATAGCACAGTCTGCATTTTCAGCAGACAGCTTGTAATAGTTTGGGATTTTTTCATCAGATTGGTAGAATATGAAAATTGGAAGGATTTAGCTGTGTAGGAGGAGAGGTAAGATGGCAGCAGATGCATTCATATGAAGGAAAGGCCACTAGCTGAGAAAATTATTTCCCATCTCTCCTACACTTCCAACCTCATCCTTATTTCAGGTATCTGTTCAGAGAACCTGTCCCTAAAACTGCAGCATTTATTGTGGATTTTTTTCCCCCAGGCAGGTCCACGGGGAGCCACAGGGAGGCTTTAGTTTCTGGTGTGTCACTCTTGTCAGCTGCTTTTTATTTTGTTTTGGTTTAGTTTCTTTCTGGCTAATCCTGTTCTATCCTGAACCACTGACAAACTAACAGAGAATAGAATTTAGCTACAGAAATTTATAACATAAAGTCCCCAGCTAAACTGAAGAAAAAAACCCCAACCCTCTGTTCTAAAATTTCTCATGTCCTTTTACTTTTCTATATAGGTCTACAAATAAATGGAAATTTTAACAGTCAGTTGGCTGGGATAACACAACTATGCAGCAGTGAGCAGGCAGATTTAATGAGCTCAAGGTCTAATCTCCAAATGTAAGCTGTACAGATCTTGTGTATAAAGACATGTTGGAAGGGCTTTTTTTCCACACATTTTTCCATGCATTCCCATTCTGGAGTTCTTTGCAGGAGGTATGAGTGTCACACTTCTATGTAACTGAATGCATACATGCATTCAGACTCATTCATTTTATCTCACCCTCATTCCTTCAAATCGTGACAAGGCTCTTAAAGGTCTTAAAGCTCTTAATGTCCGAAGCGATTTAATGGCACCAAGTTCAGAATAGCCCAAAGCATTGGCTATTAAACTAACCAATGAGACCTGTACAAATACAGAAAAAATATCATTATAAACATTTTTTTACACTGTTTATTTAAAAAGAATACAGATTCAATCAACAGAAAGATCAACAGTGACAAATGGAAGAACACGATTCTTTGTTCCAATATGTGACATTGGAGGCCCAATCCGACAAGTTTCATACTTGCTGGAAAGTCATATGAAGGCATGTTTGAGAAAGGATTATATGTTATGAAATGTCTGTTATAGCTGGATAGGGTTTACCAGTAAGATGGAAGCACATTGTTGGTGAAGGATAAAATTTTCAGAAATATTTAAAGACAAAATAGCCATACTTTCAGTAACTACATTAAGGTTCAACCTTCCAAGCAATTTAAAATTCTGAATACATTAGGATAGTTTACTAACTACTGACAATATTATTAATATCTGTAATCACTAATAATATGCTAAATAATGTAGTGATTAATTAGGTTTTGTTATAAATATTACTTCTAAGTCAAACACTCGGTTCATAGCAACAACTTCCAGGGTTATTTATTATGAAATATTTATTGACAGAGGTGGTACTTTCTCACTTGCCTGACATCTCAATAATTTTTTTTTTCTCCTCTAAGTACAGGAAAATATTACGGGATATATATAAACAGATGCTAGCATTATAACAGTAAGTGCTTTGTTATCTACAACAGTAGTGAGCTCCTGATTCATGTTACTGGGATTTCATTATAAACCAATCCACTTCAGGAAGGATCAATTAATTTGTTTCTCAAATGGAACTGAGTTTTAAACAGTGTTAATGTGAAATAATTTAATTTACTTACTTTGAGCAGTTTTGGAGACAAGAGTGGGGAAATACCATACCTTAGCTGTCATTTATTCACTTCTACCAAAAGCATAGAAAACACATAAATGAACATGGGCATATTTGAAAAAAATCCCTCAAATGTTAATTTCTGTACCTCAGTCTAGAGAGTTCTTCAAATAATTGGCTGTACAGAAAAAGGCATTCACTGATAATGGTGGTAAAATTTGGCCATTATATGAAAAGGTGGTTTCCTATGGTACTTGTATTCAAAAATAACAATTAGATGAATCATAAACACAAGAGTTACAAGATTATGTCTCCAAAGGACAATCTGAGAGCAGATAGAACTCAGTTGTTCATTACTGTGTTGCTATGTATATTAATCTAACAGAAAGTAGTATTTTAGTGAATTCATACCACTGTACCTTTCAACTGGATCAGATCTCAGGATGTAAATCTTTTATCAAAGGAAAGGCTTATTTTACTGCTGTAATGGATAATTTTGTAAAGGAACTTGCTGAGATTTATAAACATATTAAGAAGAAAATCTTACTGATTTTCTGTAGTCTTACTGAAGTTTGTTCACTTACAAGAGATAACATTATTGTTTCTTCCATTACAATAATTATTGTAATTAATGGTTATTAACAATTGTCATTAGTACAATTTATTTGTCCTGTGATTCTACGGTGAGAGAGTTCTTTTTTATCCTTAGCCACTCTTAATATATTCCAGAGATAACAAGACATGGAATTCTCTGTATTTTTAATAGAATATACATTGATTCACTCGTATCAACAAGATACTCAGACATGCCAAACTTTAGAGTAAAGACAGAACACTTTGCAAATTAAAAATAAACTATGAAATATATATTAAAAAACATGTACCTCACTGGGAATGCAAGACATCTCTCTTAAAAATGAACTCACATTAATGGTTTCTTCCTTTTATACCTTTCTCCCCAAACTAGCACTGTGCCTTAGCTATCTTTCACAAACAAGACTCCATAAGCTAGTTTCATAGCTGTAGGTCCTGTAACTTCAGTGACACTCTGTATATTGGCAGTTTTTAGGTTCTAATTGTGAGTCATTCTCCAGCGTAGTTTGTGCTTTCCATTTCAACCTATTCGCAGCTTTCTTACCAAGGTGCTAGTGCTCCTACATCATAAACCTGAAGCTGTTTCACAGAGAAATACTTCATCTATTGTAAACAACAGGTTTTCCTCTGAAGGACAGTTCAAATGAGAGGCAAAGATTTGCTTGGAATTCTTTGATAGTAATTCTATTGTATATACAGCATAGGTATATACAGCATAGGTATTTACAGCTGTTCTGTACTGCTCTGGCTTTCTCAGTCTTCTTAGCTTGGTCTTCTGTCATCTGTTCCACCTGTTTTGTTGCTAGTAGGTGAGAAAATAAATGTCTTTGTACATTGATAAATAGATTAATTTATTTCTTTTGAGATAGGAATGCATGCCGATACAGTAATTTTAAAAATGAATATGAACTCAAAATGTTGAAAAGAATTTTTACATTCATCTCCTAAAACTAAAGAGTTGTACATCCACTTTTCTGTGTACAGCTCTTCTGACGTAGACTTACCTGTTGCAAAAAATGTTTTGAAACTTAGCAGTCACAATTAGCCCTGCTCAAGATATTCAGTCAGGGTTGTCACCTGAGCCAGATTGCTGGTCATACAGCTCTACATTGACTTTATTTCTATTTAGGCCTAAAGTTTTAATCCCTATGAATTCTGTGCTACTTGGTGAGGTGGCTAATTTATGTGATTTGATTCCAGGTCCCCAGTGGCATATGGCTCTCCTTACTTCCAACACTGCTTATCCTATCTTTCATGTTGTTTATGTGTTCAGGTATTACACTTAACTAGGAATAAAAATAAACTACAAGATTTGGAAAAAAAACCCACAAAACCAAAGATTTTTCTTTCTATTAAGAAATTAATGATTTTTCTTATTTTTTGAAAGATAGATACTGTATTATTGGTTTTCCAGGTACACATTTTTGACTCTCTTGAAGACAGGACACTGGACCAAATGTAGCCTTTCTTATGCCTTGTGTAACCTCTCTTGTGTTATGGTCCTATGCTAAGATAATATTTTTTTCTATATGTACTTGGTGAATAATTCTTAATTTATGGCATTTTACTGGCAAGTATTCAAAATTCATTTTGTCTAGATGCATAATTGTAAGCTATGATTCTCTTCCCTGACTCACTGAACAAGAGCTTTAGGTTTCATGCATATATCACCTGAATATCCCTTTGAATTAATTAATTAATTTCATTAATTTCTGGATTATACAATGTTATCATAGTGTACCACGTTAGGATACACATAAGATACATGAGATTGTCTAGGAAGACAAAGTGCCATCTCTTTGGGTATCTGGTTTCCCAACACATCAATATGCTCATCTTATTTCTTCTTATTTTTACTATAAAGTTGTTAGGGCAGCAGTTGCCTCTTACTCTTATACTAAATACTTATACAGTATTTAGTATATTAGTATAATGTGACCCTGATATTTCCCAGAATGTTGCTGCTGAGTTAATTATTCTGAAAAGCTAATAAAAGTTGAGAGCACAGTTTAATTAAATTACTTTAACTGTTTTAACAAAAAAGCATGAAACATTTTTTGCTATATAAAGAAATATTATATAAGGCATCAATATGACCAACTTTTAATGTACTGTACAACAAGCCCAGTTGGAGGGTTGTTTTGCTACGCTTATTTGTTCAAAAACTGTACCCATTGGAATGTTATCAGGCATGAGCAATTTCAGGAAGGTCAAAGATTTCATTCCACTTACAAATTCATTACTGCCCCACAGTATTTGGCAAATACATGATTTGTTTTAAATGTTACTTATTTCCATTTCATTCAAGTACAATTTATTAACAAAATAATTTAGAAATAAAGTGTCTATACCAAATTATAGGACAACCTTATAAAGTTTAAAAATGTACAGCATAAACCACTATCCACTTAAGATTATCTAAGATTACATATCATAGCAGAATACTACACAAACAAATTTAGTAACTGACAAACTCATTGGGTATTTCCAGATTCCCTATCTCCTTCCCTGATGTCCTATCTCCTAACTTTGTATGTGGCAAAGACAACTTAGAGTCATTACAGCTGTACATCAAAACCTAGACATAATAAACTCATGACAGATGGCTTCTGGAAAAAGGGGTAAGAGCAAAAACCAAGGTACAGGCTGACATGCTCTATAGCATCTCTAGTTGTACTGGGTTAAGATATTGCTGTCTCAAGCATTTACTGGGTATCTCTGCCAGAATTAGTCTCCCCCAATATAGCTAATATGTCCCTTTTTCTCAGCTGCCTGCATCCAAAATTCAGTCTCTTAGCTTAAACCACTGGTAAATGTGAACTAATTGAACTAATTTACCAGGTTGTGATTTTGGGTAAATAAGGCACTCCACCCAAGTATCTGCTCCCTGCTATAGATATTGTTGCATATAACAGAAGAGTGAGGCAGAGAGATGGTCTTAAACTGAGGTAGCCAGATGTACCAAGAGTCATCCGTCATGGCTGTAAACTGACAGAGCTGAAAATTGCCATTTCTTTGTGTAATTATTAAAATCTAATTTGGTCACAGTCACTGAGAGCAATTATGGCTGTTTCTCATGGTGAGAGAAAGACTCAGGTATGTTAGATATTAAAGGTCAAAGCCCTAAAGGACTATCAGTGTTTACTCTTGAATAATTTTAGAGGATGAAATTAAACAATTTGATTAACTTTAGCCACTTCTAATGAAGAAGGGCCACTGGTGTTCTCACTGAATCACACCTGTTTAAACTGCCTGTTAAAGCAGTGTAGGTTCTCTGCTTTTATATAGGAAGGTAACATGAGTTCATATATTGCTTTCAGGTGCTGTCTGGTGGTGCTAAGGGAATTGCTGAATTAGCCTTAGGCACAATAAGACATTTTTTACCACTTTCTGGAGCATTGAATATAATTTTTCAAAAGTAGATGGTTCCAATCTCATTTAGTCATGCTTTTGTTTATAAAATTAAAATTGTGGGTAAAAAGCTGGCAAAATAAGCTACTTTACTTATGATGATGTTCTTTATAATTCTGAGAGCCTGCTCAGATAGCACCATCTCTGAGGCTAAACTATTATTAAGAAACCATGGAGTATGGCTTAGAATAATCTGTTTAGGTTTGTATTACAAAAAGAATAATTAAAAATGAATTGTACTTTATTTTTTTAAAAAAATTCCATTCTTAACATAATCCTGGAAGGGAATATCTGTATTCTGCATTAACATCATCTTAAGAAAACCATTCATGCTGTTCCATTCTAGTGTAGATTTTCAGGACAGAGCTAGAGATTAACAGTATAACAAAACTAACTTCGACAGGTTAAAAAATGAGAAGGTCTTACATTTTAAGTTATGGGCCAGTCTGGCTAGGTTGTTTTTTTTTTCCTCTGAGAGTCACAAATCTGATACATTTCTATTATATATTCATAAAGAATATGTATTTATGGGACCAGGATTTATGCAAACTTCTCAAGAAATACGGTAGCTTGGGTAGAAACTTCTATAAATGCACATTTGCCCTGAGATGCCATCTCTCAGTTCCACACTGAGGACATGTATAGCCAATGAACTGGGTCAGATAATGTGTGAATGCAAGAGACCAAAATATTCTGGGAGTAAAACCAGCTTTTATCCCTTCTGACAACATAAGCAAGGCCTTTGCACAGAAGTATATCACAGCTGGGAAAGCAGCCAAGAAATCTTTTATTCTCTTCTATCATAAACTCTGTCTTAGCTGATTTAACTATTGCAGATTGTCAGCCCATTAAAACTAATTATTTTTTAGACCAAATAGGCACTGTCTTTCTGTTTTTCTAAAAATGATAACAGTATAGTTTTGGGGGGATGAAGTTCTGAGAACTCAGATGAAATCTAGACCAAATGTATTGTTTCAATTGCAAAGCTGCAATGTTTGTAGAAAAAACTTGCACAATATAGTGTCTTATTTGCTAAGGAATAAGGTAGTATGATCAGAGTCCATTAAAAATACCATGTTTCAAAGTCAGGTTTTTTTCTCATAAAATCTCAAGTTTGGTATATCCTGGGTATGAAATTATTAACCATGAAAAATGAACAAACTGATGGTTAGCCATCCTTCTGGCATACAAATGTGCTTTAAATAACACATCCAGATCACTGCAGGCTATTACTAATGCAGTATAACTATACAATGTGAATTATATTTGCATGTTTATAAGAAGATTACTTAGTAGTAATGAGTTTTACAGCATAAAGGACTTTACTATAGTGAATTTTACAATATTAAAGACTGTGTACTTACATCAACAATCAGGAAGTCCAGCCAGCACCAGGCATTAGTAAAATATATTTGAAAACCATATGCTACCCATTTTAAAAGCATTTCCAAAATGAAAATATATGTAAAAACTTTGTCAGCATATTCCAGCATGGTCTTGATAGTTTTGCGCTGTTCAATATATATATCTTCAAAAGCCTATGAAAAAAATATATTCAGGTATTACTAATGTTTCACAGAATTTACATGATAAAAATAAGGAATAAATCAATAAAAAATAAGTATGTCAGAGCTACTCTCTTCCCTTATTCTTCTGCATCCTCTTATTTTACATATTTCCCATCTTGAACCATACTACAAATTGGAGTAACTTTATGTATTCTGCCCTGTCTGGGATTGACTATATATATCCTATTTTACTAATGAATGAAGAAATAAACTCAAAGCATGAATTTTCATCCACTGCGGTATTCAGAAACTTTTACATGCACACATAACACCCG